CTCATGTATGTATGACACTATTTCTATAATATCTTACGGTGTGATCATATTCCCTCTGTTTTATGCATCTTAGATAGATTCTGAAACTTATAAATGTAATCTATCAATAGTGATATCATTGAATTATTCTAAAACTAGCCCGTTTATATATTCACTTGCATTTAAAAGCGATCCATAATTTCACAAATGAATTAGCATAATCTGTTACATGCGGAATCCTGACGGCTTCATATCCTACATGCTTGCAGGTCTTATCGGTAAGCGTGAAGTAGCCAAATAAATAATATAGTACCTTATTAAGTTAGGTATAAAAAGCAAGCCGGCCAACGTTTTTGGTTTAAGGTTTTTGGTGATTGTTTTTAAATGATGGTTTCTGGCTCTGAAGATGCCTGTCACACGACGAACGAAAGTTCAGCAAGGATTTAAGTGGGTCGCAGGAAGATAAGCCGAGGCCTTCTTCACACCATCAAAAAGTCACAATTGCAAAATGCTCATCCATCAGTATCCAGTGAGACCAATCTACAAATATATTCCACCAGACTTTTCAAGCCAAATTATGAAATGCCGGCATCAAACTATTAAGGAATTCATTGAAACCTAGCTTATCTCTATACATTATTATCCCATTGTCGATCTCTCCTTCATAATACTTTTCTTTAGTTCGTCCAGTCCTCTGATAACATCAGATAAGATTAGCTAGCTTTAGTGATATTCTCAATTTTAATATATAGATTTTATCTCTTATAACTAGCGCAACTGCCTTTATATATGTAGAAGAGAGTTGTAAGTTTTCTTTAGATCCCAAATTAATTACCCCAACTTGAAGAAATACATAGTTTTTGGGGTATGAAAATTTTAGTATGCAACTTTCCATTTCCTTAGATTTAATTCAGCTTGGTATTGCTTCTCGAAATGTATCTGGTGCGCTACTTTATGGAATTCCTCGGCTTTGTATAGCAAAACAAGAATACGAGTCATAGAGTATCACCTAAATAAAACGAGAAAAGCCACGGGCAAAAATTTGGAGTTGGAACAACAAAGATAGCGAATTGTGTTGTTAGTATGATAGAGCAGAGAGTCACAGCAGTTTACAGGGAGTAACCGATAAACGGCCCTTGTATGGCTTTTAATGCCAAGTTCTGATTGGTCTAAAAGGGCGGCTTGATGCGGAGACTTAGTTTGCTTAGTGCCTACGGAGCACTGTGTCGATGGGCAATGCTTCGATTGTTTCGTAAGTTGAGAGATAACTGCTTACTAGCTGTGGGGCAATAATCACTAAAATAGTATTTTTAATTAAAGGATATTTTTCTCTTCTATTCTCACTAGAGAAACTTTTAATTCCTTAATAGCTGTGGCCAAGTTTATAGTAGAATGCAGCTCTTTTTATTTTACCTAAATTACTATAAAATTCCTATTAACTATTAGAAGAGAGATCTACTCTGCCTTCATGTAAATATAAAATAACAGTAAGTATTCTTGTTCCATTTCAGAAGAATACTACTACATACAAGATCTTTATCAAGCATTTTTACAAGAAAGTAACTTTGACCCACCATTATAATCTCGTGAGATTCCTCAAAGAACAGTGATTCTTCATAGTAAAACATGCGATTCGTGATTAAATCCCATGCTTCATTTTTTATTTTATTTTAAATTCTATCAGTTTTTGTGCATGCAAAATCATTTACTTTTTATCAGATTAATTAAAATATTGCATACTTGTTTTGTGAAAAAAATAGTAAACGAGTAGTTTTTAGTTAAATTAAAAATAAAAATAAATTTGGTTAAAACATTTATACTGACATTTTTTATTTTTACGCGTATATTATTTTGCTATCAAAAGCTGAAGATTTTTAATTTTATGTTTATACAACATTATGTGTTTTAATTTATCAGCGAAATAGCACATTGAACAAGCTCTTGCTTCGTCCTAATGCTCATTCCTCCCTTCTTCGATTCCCTTCTCTCGCTTTTTCCTTCCTCTTCCAACCTATTGCCTCATTCGTTGCTCTCATATTGCGTCGATAAATATTTAATTTTAATAAAAGATGATACTTTTTGTTCATGCGTTCCTTTAGATGATGTTCATAGAACTCTGGTCCTGTGCTCATTAAATTACCTACATAGGTTATGTGATTCAATCAATGCATCGAACGCGTGTGGACCACTGTTTAGCATTTTTCAGGAGGGCCTTATTTCTCAATGCATCCAGTTTATAATATCACTTGGTATATATCCTCTTCTCGAGGATAATGTATCTCTTCCTCTCGAACTTCGAATGCAGCACCCTTCCAATTTTAGGTGCCCAAAAAATGCTTTTATCGTAACGAGAAACTCTGAACTACTAAATGTATGTCATATTTTATTTGTTTAAGCCTTTTTTAACATGAAATGACCATCTTTTTATTTATTCAGATATGTAAATGTCTGTTCCGTTTGTACGAATCAAAATCCGAAAAACTTCGCTCGCTTATTTCCTACAAAATGTACTTAGGCGACCTTTTAGCAGCTTTGTTTCAAGTAGCATACGGTTCACGAGTTTCTTCTGATTCGAAAGTTATTTGTGAAGCGCGCAAACTCTTACTATCTCTTTTATCAACACTGCCTAAACATCATGCTATGCAACAATTGCTGATTTTGCAAGGAGGCCGTCCTCAAAGTAACAAAAATGTATGCCATCAAATTAATGGTCGTTTTATTCAATAATATGCTTCCATTTTATATTCCTTTTGAAATTTAGGCCCCGCTTTCTAAGGTGAAAATGTCACCTTCACCTCCGTGGCTTAGAAGGGCTTGCGGTCGCCTGCTTTCTTATCTTCTAGTCTCACCACCGTCTGGATCCTCGGGAGTCGTTAATTCTTCACACGCACCTTCGCCAGGTTGGTATGTCAAGAACTTCTTATTCATGTATACTTATTTCTAAAACATTTAAGCTATAGAGTGCCACTCGGCATATGATACTGCATTTTTTCCCTTTATGTTATAACAGAGGCTCCAAATGGTATTGCCAGTCTTATTCTTGCTGTTATGGCTTGTTGCGGTGCCGGTTCTCTGGAAGGTTCCTCGTCTTGTCATAATCCTAAGCAAACCCCATACTTGATTACTTCATTAGCCCATCTTCTCTCCAGACCCCCTTTTCAACCAGCATCAAAACGAGAACAGGAAAAAAACAGTTATTTTTTATTATCTGACTGTGACCCTGGGTCGAATAATTTAGTAGATTGTGGTGCAAATAAGCCATCAGATAAATGGATTAATGATTATTTTAAATGTATTTCTGATCAGGTATGCATCTTTGACCTAGTGATTCTTCTGTGCATCTTTAACCTAAAATATCCTTCAGTTTTCAGCTCTTGTAATGTCATATATCAATGCTTTGCTTGTCGCTGATCCTGTGTCCAGCAATACTCCTATCCACTTGGCCTATCCCATTTTTATTGCCACTACACACGAAGTTTGTCGGGTGTTTCCAACCTCAGGTTTACTCCATTTCATTTCTCCATTTTTCACGGATATTGATCAACTTTATTCTTGCTGTAGACATTTTCTCCATAATGGTAAATTCTTAAACCTAGATGTGTTTCTTTCATTTTCTATAAATTGCTTTAGAATCAGACTTTACACGTTTCTTATTCATTGCTTATCTCTTTACGCCATTATTTCTATCAGGTTTATAGATTAACATTTTTCATTATCTAGCTTATTACCATTTTAGG